CCCCCCCCCCCCATTCCTTCAAATGACACTGAATAGACTTGCAATAGGCATAGCAAAGCCACCCTTCAGACACTAACTGACTACAAGCAGATCCTTCTTTGTGAAGTGACAGATATGTTCTCAGCTTTGACCAATGTTCTCCTTGGTTTATGGCAGGAGCATGATGGTTGTACCAGGGCCCCCTGGACACCTACTGGGCCCTAGGCTCCTTCTTAGGTTGTCTTGTGGATGACCCAGCTCTGACAGACAGCCAGAGGCCAGCTGGACTGAACCTCCATAGAGATGATCAGAAGACAGCCTGGATAAGGCTGTGATGCTCAAAATGCTTGGACCGGATCTGTAAGCTGATTCGCAAATCAGTCCCAGAACTGGCAGGTGCAGGATGTAGAATCAAAGTCAGGACAAACAGGGGTCAGCAAACAGTCAGGCAGTAGAGTCACCAGTTAGGTCAGAGGCAAAGCCAAGGTTGATATCACACCTATAACAAAAGGGGTATTGCCATAACCAACCCCTCTTCCCTCTGCATCTATATGGGAATGGTCTGCCAAACATAACACTTGTCACACTTCCCTGTGTGATGATCCGGCGCCGGGTTTTACCTCCTGTCTGAGCTGCTTGGCTTCCTGCCAATCCACTCTGAACCTCTCCATTAAAAGTCCAGCTCACTTGTTCCGTGCCGTTCGGGCAACGTGTCTTTACACCCAGTCGGACTTCCTGTTTATTTCTTGCCTCTGTAATCCCTGCGGTTGCCCACCACCTACCTTGTCTCCTGTGAGTCTGGATTCCCTCTTCCTCACAGCAAGATCCTTGGATTGGATTGATCATCAGCTTCTTCAAGTGAGTCCTTGCACCTGTGCCTACTTGTGTGGCTGTGTATATGCTTCAACCCTGTCTACTTATGCATCCAGCACCTCGGTGCTGCAACTAATCTTTATGTCTGTGTGGGCATGCTAGAGGGCCGCAACCTGGAAGGTGTCCAGCAGCCAATCATCCTCACCATTAGGGGCTCTGTCGAACACCTGGCCCTTCTTAGAACCTGCGCTTCTAGTGCGTCCCTGTTAACGCACAGACACCATTTTTTGCACGCTACTTTTTGTCGTTTTGTGTGCCCCGGGCGCAGACCATGACAGTTGGTCGCAGACAGTGACAACACTGCTGGGTGTTGAGGGTAGTTGTGTGATGCATCTGAGGCTGGTGGCTTTGTCCTTGTCAATATTTTCCATTTTATCTAGAGGTCTACCAATAAAGCATTCTGAATCGAACAACCAGCCTTGACTTGTTCATGGAGGTAGCACATGGGTGTGGAATCTTCTCCACTTGCTATTGTTTTTCCCAGCCATCTCACACTGGAGGTTTCTGCAGAGCACGTACCCAGCTTCCGTCACAGGGACAAACCGTTGACTGCTAAGAACATTTGTGTTTAGAGGATTACTGGATTTCTAAGATGCCGAAGGGTAGTTGGATCATGCTGCATGTCCGACTCCCTTCTACTATCTATGGTGGCTTCATAAGCAACTCTGTTGCTTGGATTAAAAAAAAAACAGCCAGAGAACCCTGCAAAATAAGAAGTTGGACACTTACCTCTCTCATGAGTGGTAAGTGAATTATTTGCTCTCTTGCAGAGCTAGGAGCACAAGTTTTATCCCACAGTTCATGGTGTGTCGGGTAGCATATCCCACTCTGGACTCTGTGGTTCCTCTTGCACACCACTAGGTCACAACAGGACACAGTAGTGACGTAGCGGTCAGCAGGAAGAACCACAGGGCCTAGTGGGGGACATGCTATGTGACACACCATCACCCACAGAATCAGTGGCCTAACCCATCTGCAGAGCAAATTTCCAGCAGGCTTTAAAAATCTATTCTCCTAGATATTTGATCATTCAATATGCACATAATGTTGCAACAAGCCAGAACAATGAGGATGGCATCTGTATTTGTGAGTTCTTTGACCACATCTTGTAGTTGCCTACATATACCAGTCCATTCCCCTTAGGGGTAACGTAGTAACAGGAGAGAGTTTGCTGTAAAACTACACATTTCATCCTTGCTGAAATTTTGGTGAGAAAAGCCCCGAATTGACCCTAATGCAATTTCTCATGAAACAACAACTCTCAATTTTGCTCTTTCTTTGTAGGGAGTAAAATTTAGAGTTTTCAGTGTTGGGACATTCCGGCAAAATGCACCCGAGTTAATTAGAGGCTAATTAGGCCAAAGTTTTGCTAAAGGGGAAATTGTTAAATGTGCAGCAAATTCAATTTTGCTGTAAAATGACCCATTTCAAATGGAAATCAGTTTCCAATTGAATCCAATGCATCCGATGCATGCAATACAATGCATTGTCAGCAAAATGAGCATAATTTTGCTAATTTAGGATGAAAACAATTAAGATAAAGGCTGCATTACATATTTACTTTTATGTACTGTATATGCAATGCTTTTATTACAATAGAACAGTAGAACCGTTATTTCACAGGGTTAAAAAATAATGTTTTGCTTGCAGGGAAGGCACCTATAGCTTCATTCTCCGATGGCTGCAGATGGCTTTTTAGGCCAACATCTCTTCTTTCTCCTTGGAAATGTTGCCAAATGACCTCAGCTAGGGACAGGCCGCTGACCGCTGCTCCTTCAATGCTTGGACTTACGAGCCAGTCTCCACATATTCCCACATTGTGACTTGCCTGGAAGGCACAGCCCTCACCCTGCAGCACATTGAGGGGGTTAGCCGCACCCCACAGCTGTACTTTAGTGAAGCAGGGAGTCAACATTTTTCGATCAACGCCAGTCACCTCTGCAAATCCGTTTAAAAGTAAATGAGTGACCTCTTTTTCTTTGGAAGGTGGTAAAAACTCTTGAGGAGCCTTATGGCTGGCCCCAAATGCCTTTGTGCTAATGACAGTCCAACATTCCATCTGATTGTCACCGTACTTAGATGTGTTATTTCCAATCCATGATATGTCTGGGTGTTCCGCAAATGCCCCATCATAGCTCAATGAAACTTTTTTTGTTAAGGCAAACAACAAAACCCAGAGGGAGCAAAGCTGCATGACGTGAGTCTGCGGTGATAGAACAGGTCCAAACTTAACTTTGAGAAGGTTGTGGATTTGTGGAGCCCCTGAGTGTTCCATGAGCCTTGAAGCACACTTTCCATTATGGGCCACCACCAAGTAATCAAACCAGCCGTCATCGACTTGCCACTTTTTAATTAGTGGATCCCAGTGCACACTGCTGACCCACTTGTGCACCTCAACACGGACAAGACTTGACAGACACTCAGGGACCGTCTGCATTCCCCTTGTTCCAATGAACATCTGCATGTTCTTGATTTCTTCTGGCTGTTTCCCCGCTTTGAGCTGAACAATTTTGCCAGGCCATAATTTCACTGCTTTCTTGTTGTGCATAAAGGACACAATTTTGGCAAATCTCTGGTCACTCACAGTGAAGAACTGGACAGCGTGGTCAAATATATGAAGTTTTCCATTAATGTTGATGTACCGGCTGCTACATCTGCCTCCGGGGCCATGTTTCCCAGTGTCAAACACTACGGAGTTTGTGATTCCCAACTGTGACAGTCTAGCTGCACAGACCAAGCCTGAAATCCCTCCACCGACAATGGCCACTGAAATCTCTTTTCCACTCATTTCATCACACAGGATACCTGTAGACAGTTAGAAGAAAAAAATACTTTTTATTATATCATTTCACAAATCATCACAAATATGGTTTACAATGTTATACATAAAGTATAATTGTGGCTAAGAGTTTTTCTTCTTATAAAGGCCTAAGCTGTACCTCCTAACTTGACGATGGGAAAGAGGGACACCTTCCAACTCAAAGTATTCAGGAAATGGACACACCGCTGCCACGCACCTAGTTATACGATCCATTAAGAATTTATATGCCAAAAATTAATGGTTGACTCCGGAATTGTTGTTTTCCACCATTACTTTTCCTTTATATTGGCTTTTCGAAGTAGCAAAGAAGATAACGAAGACATAAGATGAAGGGCTTAGTGCAGAAGCAAACTTTTTGTAGTGGAATAGAACCTTTCATAGAGTTCTGTACATCAGAGGGACAGCTGAGGATTAAAGAGGGTCAAAGGAATTTGATTCCCAATGAGGGACATTCCCATTAAATGGGGAACACTTGGGAGGTATGCCTAAACACAAACATGTTTGCATTGTCCATAGTGTAGAAATAACCTTAATCAGGAGATTTCCTTATCAGCCTGTGTAGAAACAAGGTAATATGATGGAAAAATAAAGTGGACCTGAAGTCAGAATCTGACTTTGGGTCTACCGGCCCCCTCTTCTATCTACATTCAGCAAAACTAAAAAAAAAAAAAGAACCCAAAAGCCTACCTGTGACCCAACAGGCCCATTCATTTCCAGCAACTTCCAGTCCAAAGCTGTGGCCAAGAGACCAGAAATGTGAGAAGCAGAGACTTTAAGATAATGAATGCCCCTACCTCTCGCATTTCTGGCTATAGACTGCAATAGGAAATCATTGTACCCGTCGGTCCTAAAAAGAGCCTGTTTCAATTACGGGGATTTGGTGCTTTTTTAGCTTTTATTCAATATAGACAACATGAGTGGCATTTTTTTTTTTTGGTCCACTTTAACACTATGACATAATTCATAATCTGGCTTAACCTGTCTTGCAATATCAGATTTGTTAGATGGGAACTCCAAAAGGAAAAAAACAATTATAATGTGATAATTTCATTGGTTAAGTCCTGCAGGAATGAAAAAAGACTGACACGTGAGCTGCAATATTGACAGTACAGGTCATAAAGAAGGAGGAAAAATAAATGTACAGCAATGTATTAATGTAACGTTAGCTTGGTGTACCATCTCACAACCACTGCACGCTGGTTTCCGGAAACTGGTGAAGATTGCAAAACAGCCTCACCAACTGCCACGCCGGATATATTCTGCAAGCTGGTCTGCCTGTGCCCCAGAACCTTCTAGCTCTACCGGGAAAATTCTACCATAGCTCAAGGAAGTCTGGGGTTTGTGGGTGGGTGAAGAACAGACATATGGATGAATTAGACTTTGCGGGGCGCTTTGTGGGATGGTAATGAAAGTTTATTCTGGTAATGTTGCAAAAAAAAACAGGGAACTAGACACAGAAATTAGCTTTTTTAAAGCCGAAGCCTTTGTTGGAAAATGATGTCAATTCCGGCAAAGAGCAATGACATCATCGCGGTGCACCTATAACTCCATTGGAAGACTCCAGATATTTCTGTGTATAGGGAAGGCTTTGGATGGCGCAGCACGGTGGCTCAGTGGTTAGCACTGGGTCCCCAGTTCGTATTCCGGCAAGGACACTATAGGCATTGAGTTTCGATGTTCTCCCTGTGCTTGCGTGGGTTTCCTCCAGGTACTCTGGTTTTCTCCCACACTCCAAAGACATGCTGGAAGGTTAATTGGCTCCTGTCTAAATTGGCCCTATTGAATGTATGCATGGGAGATGGAGACCTTAGAATGTAAGCTCCTCAAGGGCAGGGTCTGGTGTGAGTGTGCGGTATGTAAAGCACTGTGTAAATTGTCAGCAATATATAAATACCTGGAATAAATAAATACATCTCCTATCACAGAGGGGTTATCACAAGCTGCCCACGTACATGAATAAGGTTTAAAATGGTGAGAGCGGCCATTGTTGACTTTTTTTTTCAAGGTGCAGGATCCAGAACTACTTAGCGAGGCGCTGATCCGGAACATGCAGCCAGACAACCAATGCTAGAGTACCCGATAAGCACCTACTTGTTTGTCACTTTGTCAGAAAAAGCCCACTTTATGGTTCAGTTTAAGTCAACTAAATACATTCCAAGCGCATCAAGGTGTGCAAAGTTTTGCGGTTAGTTTTCTTTAGAAAGAGGCCACAGCCTTAGAAGAAAAGCCTGTCCCATGCCAGCATTCTGCAGAGAAGGATCCTTTCTCTCCGTGCAGAAGCAGGGGTCCCTCTGCAGAGGTTCAACAAACACATGCTAAGTCCAAGCTAGAGTTAATCAATCAGCAGGGAGCATAAGATTTGAACAGGAAGTGGTGACAAATCTTTTCAACAGTGAGAATGTTTTTATTGCTGTCCGTGGCTTTTTTGTCCCTCTGACGCCCGCATCCATCATTTCTTGTACGGGTGTCACAGGGAGAGGAAGTGAGGAAAAAAATTTGATCCTGTGGGATCACAGACAGAAATAAAAACCATAAACGTTAAACTTCCCAAACCATCCAATATTAACAAAAATTATCTGAAGTTAGACTTTAACCCTTGCCACCACCTACCGCCAGCTTTTTAACTGGGTCTTAACGTTGGGGATGTGGACTCCTGATCATGTGACCACAGCAACATCGGTCACATGATTGGAAGTCTGTCCTGCTGGCTCCCAATCGTTTACGGAGACTAGAAGCCAAGTGTGCTGGGACCATGCAGTGAGCGCGCTCTTAGCTTAGCTCAGCGGAGCTCCATGTATGCATTTACGTGGTAGCCCGGTGTTCAGGCCCACCCATTTGTTATGCCGGCTATCAGACATGTGCGATTCCTTTCCTTCGAAATCAAAATTCGGACAAATTTTCCAAAATTCTGACATTTTGACACATCCGACTTTCTAAATCCCAAAGCATCCGAATGTGTTCGAATCCTAATTTCCGGTTTCCCATTTTCGGATGCTGTCCCAATTTCGTTAAAAAACTAATCTGAATCGGACATGTGACTTTTCTGGCCACTCGGATGTGTTTTTCGATGTAATGCATCCGAATGGGTCTGAACACGAATTTTCGTTATGGCAACATGGGAGCCATATACAGTATATACATATAATACTAAAGCTGAGGCTCCCAGACCCGAATGGCATTGGGGAGCTCCAGAATGCCATTTGGGTCTGGGAGCCTCAGCTTTAGTATAAATATCTGTATCTGGTTTTCTGTGTTATTCACAAAGAACATTCAGAACAAGAGGTCTTGCTGCACTCCTTACCGGAACATCCAAGAGACCCGTGTAGACGGGTGGGTGCTTGTACTGACCCAGATGGCACCGTGAACAAACCAAATGAAAAAATAGAGTCACCAGCACACCAAGTAGTAGTTTAGCAATAGTCCATTTAATGACACATTGGCAATTTAATGACACGATTGCTAAACTACTACTTGGTGTGCTGGTGACTTTATTTTTTCATTTGATTCGCGAAGAATATTTGCAAACTCATCCGAAACTAATGAAAATTCGAATCCAAAACCCGAACTGAATTTTCGATACGATTCCTGAAATAACGAAATATCCGAACCAAAATTTTCTGCAGTTTACATGTCTACCGGCTTTGTTGCATCACATCGTTGCTGATCTCTTGTTGCCTCTTATTAGCCACTTCCAGCGATGGCTGCCTGGCATTCCTCAGGACGAGTTTCCGGATGGTGACACCAGTGGACCATGTCCGTGGTCTCCATCGAAAGGCCGCGCGAGGTGAAAGAAGCACAACTGGGAGACAGGAACAGAGCGTTGTCACTCTGAACACAGGAAGTGCCTGAACAAGGGCCTCCATTGCAGGATCACTAGGAATTATTCTCATTAAGATTTTAAAATACTGAAAATGACATTAACATGTTAAAGGTTGTATGAGATTTGAATGATTGGCTTTAAACCTGCAAAGGAACGGTGGTTGGCTGGAGTACGAGGAGGTGTCACTAGAAGCCTCCTGCCCATGAATCATTTATGGGGACCTTAGATATGGGTGAAAAGAGGAACGCATGACATCATCACGTCAGTCATTCGGGGGCTCTGGTTTCCAATCATGTTCCTGGCTCCGCATATCAAGACGGTGTTACTAGTGCCATTGACCAAAAGTCATGGAATGCGCCCAATGTACAAGGACGAAATGCTAATTAGCGCTCCTGATTTCTCAATCCCCGCAGACCCCTCAGCTCTTAAATAGCTTGCGGAGAAGAAGAAAAAAAAAAGGAAAAGTGCTGTCTCAGTGTATTACTAGCCGGCCAGATATTGGGTATATTTGCCTTGCCTTGCTTGTTACCACGAAGCTGGCAAAACAGCCCTTGTTCTGGCCAAAGCCTTGAAAGGGAACGTGACCATCCATAGACAGGCAGCTACTTAATACAACCGCCGCTATTCATGTTTTTTTATGAGTGCGTTTCTGTTGGAGAAATTAAATACGCTTGCAATTACAGCCTGCGAGGCTGACAGCGTTTACCCAGACACGCCGACCCGATGTGGCTATTAATATCGAGAACCTTTTAATATTATTTTATGTCCAGCAGCCATAGACGGAGCTGATGGGAGTGTTTTGTTTTTCAGAAATAACATCGCCTGAAAAAACACGTTGGTGGAGGCCTGCAGGGAGACGAGGATATTTAAAGCACAGAAACAAGTCTGGGGCAAAAAGCACAGGACTTAATCAAACCATCCCCATCTCCCAATCAACCCTACTGCCCACCTGGGCCCCCCAATCAACCCTCCTGACCACCTGGGCAACTCCCAAGCTGCTGTATTTTTTGCTTATTTTTTTCTTGCCTTAGTCTTCAGACCCATCATATGATGTGCGAGGTTGTCCTCTTCTGATCTTCGCAAGGTGGAAGCTATTAACTGCATCATTGCCTGTGTACCACTGAGGACATTTGCCTTGACTTCCAGTCCCAGAGATGCAACAGGAAATTAGAAGAAATCTCCCAATGTGAGGGGAAACCCCTCTGAGAGAGTTGTCCCCATTGGAAGATTTCCCCTGACCTTTTTGCTCTGCTGACAACTTGGTCACCACTAGTTATGTGCATGGGCTTGGTCTGAACCAAGTTTGCAAAGCCCACTCCAAGCTGTCACTGACACCATGCCACCACACCGGCCCATTTCCCTACCCATTGTGACGGGTAGCTGTGAGGCAGGCAATGCCTCGGCTGCAACTGATTGGGTCGGGGGGGGGTGTCAGTGACAGTTTTGCACATTCTTGGGCGAACTCTGTTTGCAACAAACCCACACATATCACTAATCACTAGTGCAAATCGAGAGGGCGAGCCTCCAAAATGGGGACTCAGACAGCAATAAAGACTTAACAGAGGGTCTAACTCCCTGGTGCCAAACCTATGGCCCTTTTGTATTTCCTGTGCGACCCTTGGAGCCCCTGCAAACAGTAGTCCTTGGAGGCATGTCCCTGGTCCCCAAAAGCTGCTATTGCAAAGGTAGCTAAACTTCGCAATAACGTCATGCATTTGCCTATGGGAGTCATGCCTGTGGCCGTCAGAGTCTTGCAATGCCTAATGGGATATGTAGTTTTACAACACCTGGAGGGCTGAAGTTGGACTACCCCTGTCCTATAGCATATCTAATCTTTGACCACTTCTTGTAGCATACCTGTAGTCCTTGTCCAGCTTTTGTAGCAAGTCAGCCGTCACTCACAGCTTTTTGTACCATTAATAGCATTATATATTATATGTGGCCCTTTGGTGATGTCAGGGGCCACACTTGAGCTCCCCTATATCAGGAAAGTTGACCACCATTGATCTAACTGCTCCTTAGTCTATCTAAAACTAAAAAAAGTGACTTCCTTGTGATACATGTTTACAAAATATATGTGATAAAACAAGTTATTCTTCGAGAGGAAGCAATTAAATCGCAGGTCAGTTTTAAGGTTTACAAACACTTTAAACATTTTCTACATGCCATTATGAAAAGAAAACCTGTTATGAGTAGGAGCGAGGTCGGGATTGCCTTGTGCTAGTAAACAGATCTCTCTGTAGGACAAAAGTTACATTTTGTTTCCTTCTATGTTCCCAGGTAGCAGAAAGTAACTAAATACAGGAAGTTTTCTGGCTTGCAGTGTCTTGCTTGTTGACTTGCAGTGCCCCCATCCTGCGCCCCTGTACATCCTCCCGCTGAGCGGAGATAATAAAGCTTTATAGATTGTTAATACTTCATAGGAGAAGCTCTTACCTAAATTGCTGGTTGTGTAACTCCAGGACAAGCCGAGGCTCCACTACTTCCTCTCTGACAGCTGCTCATCTCCCAGCATTCCTTGCTGCAAGGAAAGGCGACTTCACACTGCAACGTAGGCAAGGCTATATCTACACTACGTCTATCTGTTATCCAGACAGAGAGAGCCCTGCAGGGTCATACATGTTACATAGTTATATAGGTTAAAGATAGACATATATCCATTGAGTTCAACCAAAAGACACAATTAAATAAAATCAGCTAAAAGCATTCGTGTTATAAATGTGTATTTATAAGACGTTGCCTAAAAAAGGAATAAATGCACACACATTAATGAAAGATAAAATGTGCATGTATTAATTATTTGCATTTGAGCCTTCAAAGCGTTGCAACTGGATGGATGGATGGCGGGTGCAGTGGATGACGGGTGCAAAGCTCAGGCTCCTGCGGACTGTTCCTCGAGCCCCAGGTCCATACGTACCCTCAGTTATGGGGCTGGGGAAATGAATCAATGGCGGGTGCAATGCTCAGGTTACTGCGGACTGTTCCTCGAGCCCCAGGTCCATACGTACCCTCAGTTATGGGGCTGGGGAAATGAATCAATGGCGGGTGCAATGCTCAGGTTACTGCGGACTGTTCCTCGAGCCCCAGGTCCATACGTACCCTCAGTTATGGGGCTGGGGAAATGAATCAATGGCGGGTGCAATGCTCAGGTTACTGCGGACTGTTCCTCGAGCCCCAGGTCCATACGTACCCTCAGTTATGGGGCTGGGGAAATGAATCAATGGCGGGTGCAATGCTCAGGTTACTGCAGACTGTTCCTCGAGCCCCAGGTTCATATAGACCTTCAGTTATGGGTCTGGAGAAAGCAATCAATGGCACGTGCAGTGGATGGCGGGTGCAATGCTGAGGCTCCTGCGCACTGTTCCTCGAGCCCCAGGTCCACACGGACCTTCAGTTATGGGGCTGGAAAAATGAATCAATGGCGGGTTCAGTGGATAGCGCGTGCAATGCTCAGGCTCCTGCGGACCTTCAGTTATGGGTCTGGAGAAAGTAATCAATGAACTACAGGTGGGGTAACGTCACTTGTAATGTGTTGACATCTAAGAGTTCTTCTGCCACGGTGGCACTTGTCTTTTCATTCACAGATACTGTGAATGGATCTGTGAATGAATGACACACCCACACACTAATTCTAATTCAAGAATGCACCAGATACTCGCAGAAGAAGTACCCCATTATTTACATAAGTGGGGCAGCTCTTTGAGGGCAAGGACTGATGTGAATGTGATATATGGGATTCCCCCATCCATTCTGTTAGTGGGGCTAAACGAGAAACAAACTCATGAGTCTGGCCTGAGTGAAGTTGCAGGTGACGGCCATAGCAGCAATTATGGGCACTGAGTGGGCAGTAAACAGCCTAATCTGCCAATTTGTCAGGGAATTTAGCTCTAAATGACCTAATAGGTCCTTCATTTATTCCAACCGAATAATGTAATTTGTGGAATTTGATGCTCAAGGTGGTCTTTTTGGTGGCAGTGACCTCTGGTAGAAGGGTGTCCATTAGAATTCAGAGAACTCTTTTTAACCTTCTTTCTGGATAGGGTGGTGCTCAGACACAGCCTGGACTTTCTTTAGTTTGTATCAGCTGAATTCACAATGCATTAAAACAAAAGGTGTGCAGAGTCTTACAGTTGGTTTCCTTTAGAGTAGAAAAGCCTGTCCCCTGCCAGCATGCTGCAGGGAAGGAACCCCTCTCTCTGTGTGAAATCAGTGGCCTCTCTGTGGAGGTCAGATACGCCCCCTGCTGTGCCAGAGCCAATCAGCAGGGAGCATGAGCATTGCTGATTGGAGAGCTCTTGTTTTGACTCAACAGGGGGCTTGTCAAACCTCTGCAGAGAAACCACTGCTTCCCCTCAGAGCCCTTCTCTGCAGCATGCTGGCAGGGCTCAGTTGCTTTGCAAGTACAAACCTTAGCTAAGTACTTAGATACACAGAAACCTGTGTCCAGGGATTTACGTCTATACATATATGTGGTTGTATGCAATTACCAGCTGTGATATTTGGGGAACTTAGAACAAATGGTGAGCGCTTAAGGACCAGTTTTGAAGCCATTGTAACATAAAACAAAACAGTCTTTTATTGCTTCCAGAAAAGAAACATAGCTTCTTCAACAATAACACAAGGTCCGCTTGTATCCCAGCAAATAGAACACATAGTCTCACCGACTCCAGGTTGTCGCACATACTCCATCCTTCCCAGTCCCTGGACGTTAGAGTTTCCCTTAACGGAGCCACAGTCCACCTTTCGTGTGACTCTTAAACACATCCCTCATGCATCACTGGCTTTCTAAGTCTCCTTGGCTGGCCTCCAGCACACACAGCCACCTAACTCCCTTCTTCCTTCTAGGAGGAGTCCTCCTGACTTCTGAACACCTCAGTTCCTCTTCCCCGCTGGAGCCCAGAACATTAGCCAGCACCCTTTCCATAAGTGCTGGGCACAGGTGTGCAATCATTAGGTGCTGGCCACTACTATACCCCGGACCCAGGACTGGAGATCTTATCCTTCCCAATTCTCTTTGAAATCTCCCAGTTCCAGGATCCCATGCCAAATCCACAAAACCTAGGAAGAACTGCGAAGTCAGCTCTTTCCCAGTACACAAACTTGCCTCCTTGAACCGCTCAGCCACTCTGGCTGATAGTTCTGGGTGACTATAACCCCCAGTTCTACCATGGGATTGCCACACAATACTACACAGCGTATTCCAATGTGGAGCTGCATACAACCACTGACTTCCATGGATGGCTGTGTGCAGGGCCTGGGTTGCTTTAAAACCCTTTATTGAAATATAAATAGCCTTTAGGATTGAGATAGACAATAGATAGATAGATAGATAGATAGATAGATAGATAGATAGATAGATAGATAGATAGATAGATAGATAGATAGATAGATAGATTTTTCTAATCAGAATTAGCTGCTGCAGATTTTAGCCTTGGGCTCTCTCCCAAGTTTATAACACAATGTGCTCTTGGATCAAGCCATGTAAATTTATATCTTAATGTTCATTTCAACACACTGCGCTTTGATTTTAGGCAAAATAAGTGTTGAGACATTTTTGAAAACAAGCTCGTGAATCATTCATTGTATAGAAAAATCCTTCATCGGTAGCCAAAGAAAAAAGAAAAAAAAAACTTCAGCAGGACATGTACAAGTTCGGCTCTTTTTTTTCACCATGTCCCCTGGCGCGAGTTAAAAAAAAAAAAAGATTCTATTTGAGTTCCATCACGGAATCCTAGAACCGAGGTCCTGAGAGCAGAAAAAGGACACCTGTGTTGTCAACGGCTGGGATGAAATTAGGACGGAGCATTCGATACCCGGTGCTTGAGTCACTGACTTCGGCCCCTGGGACAGATGTGGGAGGGTAAAGAGAAGCTTTATTTATATAATAGCTCAGCAGAATGCGCTCAGTGTGAGAGCGGGATATGTGCCCCGGGTGTAATTTTTATGCAGAAAGGGGAGGGCGAGCTTTTTAAAGTGATCTGTTCAAAAACAGCATGAACACCGGCTACTGTAATATTCCTCATACAGAGTCGGCTTTATCTTCCCGCGCCGAACAAGAGAGGTCGCGGTCCCAAGACGAATGGTAGCAGCGCTGGAGAAATACGAGGAAGTGCTAGTTTACACACCAGTTGATGGATTGATGGAGCGGGCGACCGGCGTGGGCCGTTAATGTGAGCTCACGTTCCCGAGAGTGATGTTTACAAACTATTTCGATTTCAAGGCTAAGAGTGAAGAAAGAGAGACTTTGGTGACCCAACGGCTCGTTATGGTGTGGCTGATGCAGCCCGTGAACCAAATGTTCGCTAGTTGGCTAACACAAATTTTACAAAGACCGGTCGTCTCACAACAGCGTTATAGTGTTTGTGACTTGAAGAGCAAACTTTCTTCAAGTTTGTATGGATTAGGAAAGGGTTAAGACATGCAGTCAGCATTTGCCCGATACTGCTTTACTAGGGGCGCCACTAGGTGTGTGGATGGAGAACTTCCCCTGGGGGGGTGCCCTGGGTGCTGCTTTACAAGGGTCGCCACTGGGTGTGTGGATGGAGAACTTCTCCTTTGGGGGGGAATGCAACTCTGAGCCTTTGCCCCCCGGGTGAAAGAATGTCTAGATTCCCCACTGCCTGCAGTTGTCTTGTGCCTCCATTGGGTAGATTCCCCTCCATTTCCTGCCTTGGGAGACTCAACAGGAAATTAGCGTCATTCTCCCTCAAGTGATGGAAATATATTGCTACATTCATTCTGACGTGAATAGCAAACTTTTTTCTCTAGCTTTTATAAAGTGGGAAAGGGTTGAGATCTGCAGCATCTTTTTGTCTTGTTTCTCCATTGGGTAGATTCCCCTTCATTTCCTGTCTTGGAATACTCAACAGGCAGTGAGCAACATTCTTGTTCCAATGATGCAAATACATTGTTACATTGTTTCTGACTTGAAGCCTTTTCTAGTTTGCATACAGTGGTATAGGTTGAGTCCCGCAGTATCTTATTGTCTTGTTTCTCCATTGGGTAGACTCCTCCTCATTTCCTGTCTTGGAAGACTCAACTTGGGAGACTCCAGGAAGTGAGCTTTGTTCTCCCTCGACTGATCTAAATGCCTGCCCTCAAAGTTGACATTCGGGAGCTCCCGAACGCCATTCAGGTCTAGGAGCCTCAGCTTTAGTATTATATGTACCCATTTGGACGCATTAAACCGAAAAACACATCTGATGGCCAGAAAAGTCACATGTCCGATTCATTTTAGTTTTTTAATGAAACGGGATCCGAATTTCGGAAACGGACATTCGGATTCAGACACATTCGGATGCATTGGGATTCAGAAATTCGGATGTGTCAGAATGTCCGAATTCCCAGAAAATTCATACAAAGTTTGATTCGGAACGAAACGAATCGCACATGTCTATTAATTTGTATTGATATAATATCTGCTGCTAGGTCCACCCTAAAGTGGTTCTAAACCCTCATTTTTTTTGCATATATCTACTGCTAGCAAGCGATAG